CCCACTTCCCGTTCCCATAGCGAAAGTATGGCCGAGCGGATTGGTCCACTTCGATCACAGCTGAGTGGTCCTGTGCCACGACGGCCTTGATGAGGCCCTGTACTGCGAGCTCGGGTCCGGCTGATGCGGTGGCCCCGCAATCTACCATACCTTCAAAATCGCCCTGGGTAGATGCCAGGGAGGTGGAGTGGCACTCTTTTGAGCTTTTGGTGCTCATGTCCAGGCCAAAGTACTCCGTGGTGTAGGAGTTGACAAAGGAGCGCGGTGGTGCAGAAGCGCTCTTGCCAGAGGACCAGTTCTTGCCTTTGCCCTTGAAGTACATGGCATCGTGGTCGTACTCCCCGAAGTTGGAGAACTTGCCCTTGTTTTTGCCCTTCTTACCCTTGGAGCCCTTGAAGTAGTAGATGTCGTAGTAAGGGTCCATGCCAGCCATGAAGCTGGAGTTGCCCTTACCGCCGGCTCCTTTGGGATGAGCAGGGTGACGTCGGTCGGGACAGTCACGAGCCATGTGATTGCCGCCGCAATTGAAGCATTTGATGGGCGACTTGCCCTTCCCGAAACCACGATCACGGTGAAGAGCAGCAGTTGCTTGTTTGGCCTGCACCCATGTGCGTTGAGCTTCTTGAGCAAGTTGTTCAGCGACACGTTCAGCTTGTTGTGCTTCTTGAAGATGGCCATCATCACCGGTGTCAGGAGCATCTGGCTCCTCAGGTGGTGCAGCGTCGTTTTCCCAGACGGAGGCGTCTCCAGCGTACCATTGTTGATACCAGTCCTCTTCAGGCCACCAGGGCTCAGATGAGTAGCCCTGCTGCCACTCTGATCCATGATGATCAGCATCAGGAGCTTCTTGATAATGTAGGTATCCTTGATGAGCAGCAGGAGAATGGGCATGACGAGGACCAAGTAGTTGTTCATCCCAGAGAAGACGGAGAGCACTGCTGATGGACTCATAGTCCATTTGATTGCGCGTGGTGGACAAAATGTCCCGCTTCTCCTCATTGGAGAGGCTTGCAGCTTGAAGCAATCGCCAACCTCGGAGAACACCCATGATGAAGGAGTCGGTGATGGACAGCTCACTCACGAGGTTCCCATCGAGGGCCGCAATGGGTGGAATGGTTGACTCCACCGCCGGTGCAGCAGTCGATGGAACAGCAGGCGTAGGACCAGTGGCTGAGCGGGTAGGCGAGGCACCGGGAGCTGCCTCTCGGGAGCTCGTCTCTCCTGACGTATTGCCAGGTTGTTCTTGTGATGGTTCAGGGGCAGAGGGATCAGCAGGCTCGGCACCATAGAAGGAATCATCCCATGGATCGTAGTTGGCCTCATCACCGTACCAGGACTCCTCGCGGTAGGCCGGAGGGATGCCGAAGTCTTTGTCCTCCTGCTTGATGCCATTCTGCTCCTCGTAGAGACGAACCAAGGCTTCCGTGAACTCTGCATATCCCAGGGTCTCGCGGATCAAGAAGGCCTGCATGGTCTCCTGAGGGAGGCGCTTGAAGGCAAAGTACTGAGCGCAGATCGCCGCAGTGTTCGGGAGGCTTTGTCTGACCAGTGGTGATGCTGCCAGGCGTCTGAGAAGGTCACGGGTACCATCTGGTGTGTCGAAAGCTGCCAATGGCCAGGACATGGCCAGCAGCCTTGCAGGTCCTGTCAAGCGGCTCACCAAGCGGGTGGCGCAGTACCGCCGCTTATGTGGTGGCACTGATTGCACCCACCAGGCAGTCTCTCTTGTATATTTGCGCCATGTTTTCGCTGAGCCATCCCAGGACGGTGCGTTGCCCTCCTTGTCGCTCATGGTGTGGATGCCAACCTCAACGTCGCGTGAGCGAGGGAGGTCAAAGCACGGGTGGTGTATCACAGCAGGGAGCTGAATGCACACACAAAAGGAAAAGCAGGTGGTAACCCTTGATGCACAGGGTCGGGCCAATGAAAAAGGGCAGAAGGTCTCTGATGTACAGAACCAGGCCTTAGGCGGATCTGAGAGGGTTCAGGAGCTTCTGGATCGGGTAGCCGTGCTCCGCTACCAATGCAATGGCGTAGCTCTCAAAGCGCAGCACAATGACGTGTCCTTTTGGCACGGGATGCGAAAGGTGGTCTGTCCACCGGCGTAGTGATGGCTGCACAGGTCGATTGCTAAGGCGCAAGGGGCCCCTAGATGATTGGTGGCCGCGGTATGCACACAGGTGACTCATGTGAGGTCCTTGCAAGGGCAGCAACTGATAGGCCCACATGTACAGAGGCCTAGCTGAATTGCAGATACCTTTTACAATGGGCTAGATAGCTACCATTTGTTTTCACTCTCAGTGATTCCATGTCCTTGTGTACCATTTGCTCAATAATATGTTCTATTTTCGCATGTTGGTGTTAAAAGGAATCTATCTCTATTGGAAACATGTTTTTCCAGGGTGCCGAGAGAGCAAGTGGATGTGTAGTAGGGGAAGGGTTGGCATCCCAGTGAAAGGTTTCATCAGCGCCAGGGTTTCATCCATGCCCTCTAGACAAGCCCCAGTTAAGGAGCACACACATACAACCTCACATTTCCCTTTGTATAAAGGCATCTTGCAGGAACCCATGTCCAGGTTGTATCTTTGCTTTTGGGAGGGCAAATGAACTGATTCTGAAGTACGTCGGCTTCGGAGAGGGGTACAGGGCACACTACCTGTTTCATTGTTTGTTGATCCATTGATCCCTCAGCCGGCTTCGATACCTCGAAAACGGCTCCGTGTCCAACTCCTCCCTGGGGCCTTTTGCGGACAGGTCCGCTACGAGGCCAGCAGGCAGATGGCGGCCGCTGCGGAGAAGCCAAGCCTGGGGCCCCGGCTTTGGGATTCTTCAAGTCGCCGGCTTTGGTTTTGGAGAAGCGAAAAAGCGAAGGGGGTTGGTTGCCTTGGCGCTACTTATCCTAGAGTCTCCTTCTGACCCTTTGAAAAAATGGTTGGGCATGACCCGGGTCTTTGTTTTGGTGAATGCCCAACCATTGCTAAAGGGTCATGGAGACTCCAGGTAGTTGCCCCAAGTGTTCCGAAGAATTGTTCGACTTACCCAGGCTGAATGTGGCTGGTTGAATTGCAAGGTTTACTGGTGGTAAGAATGAGTCGCGGATGTGCCCGCAGCTTGCACTGAATCATGTAGAGCGAACTATCAGCAACATCACTCTCTGGATGGTTGCGAAAATCCGCTTCCCGCAGCACCTAAGAATGCCTGGAATGATGATTCCCCTGTAAATAAGTAACAGCAAACAATGGTTTCCCATTGTTTCAAAGTGATGCGAAATGGGTTTTGTCCGTCCATAGTGTAACCACGGAAAATGCTCAGGGTCAAACCCTTCAGTGACACCCGTTTTCCATTGCTGCCTGCGCGCGACTTGGGGGAGCCCTGGGCTTGTCCAGCGCCATCTTTTGTCCCTTACGCCAAAGACCCTACGTTGAAGACGCTTAATTAAAATATGTGGCCATGAATTCTAAGAACTCGGAACCACCTCAAAAGTGATAGGTGGGCATGGATCTCCTAAATCATGTCCAAAGGCTTCAGTGCTGGGGCGGAGGTAGTGTAAAACATGTATTTAAATCGGGTGTTTAACCTGGCTGGCCGGGACACCCTCACGGGCCCTGAAAATAGTATGCGACAGAGTTGTTGTAATCGGATCCCCCTCAACCAGATGACGGCGTGATCATAGGACAAGAGTCTGTGTGTCTGTGTGTGTGTGTGTGTGCGTGTTTGCGTCTGTCTGTCTGCCTGCCTGCCTGCCTGCTGTGTGTCTGTCTGCCTGGCTGTCTGTCTGCCGTCTGCCTTGCTGTCTGTGAGACTGTCTGTGTGTCTCTGTCTCTGTCTAGTACTTATGGACTCACTTGGCCCTCCCCCCTGGACACATCCTGCAAGGTGAGACGTGCAATTGTTCATTTTGCAACCTCCCTTTGACCTAAAACGCGATACTGGGCGAACAAAACTTGCTGGTGCTCAGGGAATGAGAGATGGAATGACCCTTATAAAGCATCCAACTGGTGGCTTCCTGTAATCGGCAATCCCTGGGTTCATTCCCACATCCCCTGCTTATCGCACCAGCAAGAAAAAACACAGCCGTTCGTTTGGGTGCTGCTTTCTTGGGAGTTGGAAACCCAAAGCCAAGCCAACATGTTTGGGTGTCCTCTACAGAAAGGCACCCCCCTCCATTTGGGGTGTTTCTTTTCGCCCAGCTTCTCGCGGTCTACCTCTTGGGCTTTTTCTCAGGTCTGTCCTTCGAGGACGAGTGCGGCTTGTTGCGCTCGGCGGCGCTTGCTGCTGCCTTCGGGGAGAAAACTAAGTTGCGATGGAGCAAACGCAGGCATTCGGGTCTGTCTTTTTTTGGAGTTGGTACCCCTGGTTAGTCTGTTTTAAGGAGAAGCCAAAGGAAAACCAGCCATTTTTGGGGCTCCGAAAAAAAGACAGCCACTTGGACCAAGCCTGAATGCTCCTCAAGCAACCAGAGAGAAGAGGCGCGGCCAAACGCACAGAGCTTCCTGCATTCTATCGGTTACTTGAGCCTGAATAGCACACGCTCATTTTTCCGCCCAGAGGCTCCTGGGGCTTGCAATGAAAAAGCAAAAAAATCGACCCCTCCATTAGACATTTTGGACGTGTTTGGGTCTCAAAGCCTGGCTGTTTGAGGGCCCTAAATTGATCGGGAGTGTCTGGGCAATGAAAACCGACAAAAAATGGGACATTGTGTATTGATGCTTTTGCTTGATAGATCTAGACCCTCGATTTGGCGCTCGCCCAATCCATGGAAACCTCCGACCGTCGCCACGGGTCCAAGTCAGCCGTGCAGGTTGGCCGCCAACTGAACTTATAACATTGGAAGTGCACATGGCCCTTTCCCAAGAGGGTAGTTTTCCACGGGCCGTGCACTTCCGGTTTTGTAGTGGGGCCTTTAACCCCCGAAACACAAAAAACCAACCATGGGATTGTACCAAGGCATCCTCAAAGATCTGGAGAATGTGTCAGCTCTTTGTAACCAGTCGGTGCCCCGTTTTTTTGAAGGCCACACCCGTCAAAGCGCTTCAGCCTTTCTTCGCTCGAGAGCGAGCGATCGAGCGATGGCGAAGAGTCGAACGGACTCTCGCTGGGTGAGACGTTGCCTCCTCTGCTGGCTGCTTGGCTTAACTATGTTACCTTGAATGTGCTGGGAAACATGGCAGGTTGAAAAATGGCAACCCGCCATGTTCCTCACATGGTTCTCCTGTCTTTTTTTGGGGGGGGAGGGGGGGGGTGGGTGTGGCTCAAAATCAAACCAGGGGACCACAGGTTTTGGTCCATGTGTCCATTTACCCGGGCTCCATTTTGGGCACCCATTGTTGACCCATAGCCGTATGATACCTTGAATGTGCTGGGAAAACAAACAACACAGAATGGCAACCCGCCACGTTCCTCACATGTTTTTGCTTTTTATGGGTGGTGCCCTTAGTTGTCTTAGTCTACTGTTCAGCCCTGTGCTTCCAGTTGCACTGGCTTTGAAGTGGGAAAAGCCATGTTTTCCTTACCCCAGTTTTTTCGTGGTGCCCTTTTTTGGGGGGGAAGGGTTCCGATTCCTTTACGCACTTGCCCAAAGCCGACCTTTTGACCTCTTGGTTTCCTATGTTTGGTCCATTTTTAGTAAAGGTCCCAAAAGGTGAACCTTTTTTTTCTGGGTCCTTTGGGCAACTGAGTTTTGCTTTAAACATCCCCACAATTAGCGTTGTTTTTTTTTTTTTTTTTTTTTTTTTTTTCGGTTTTTTTCCGCTTTTTTTTTATGGTCCTTTTGTTTTCCACTAACCAGGCAAACACATATAGTTTAGCTGGGGTCCTAATTCCAGCCTAGTAAAGTCAACCAACCAAAACAGGATACCTCTGAGTTACTTTACTTGCCCTCGGCCAGGCCTCTGTTGCGTGGATTCCGGCCCCTTTTTTGGCGACTTTGTTGGGGCAAGGTTCTGATTCCTTTAAACAGGGCTCCTTCAAAGAAACATGTTGCCCGTTTGAAACATGGCTGTTTCCACCAAAATACAGGGAAATCACCATTTACAAGGCAATGTTCAGGTGTATAATGTAAGGATCCCTGTTAAACTCAACCAGCAAAAAAAAGGTGTCGATCCTTCTTTCCCATGGAAACCCACTGGGCATCTGAGAGCACCTTGCCCCATTCCAGATCATGAATGTTCCGAGCACTTGAGACAAAAAGTGAAATTGGCATTCCGCCAGTGCCACACTCTGCTCTTTTGAGAACATGTATGAACATAACTGTGTATTGGCCCACGTATTTCCAACTGGTTGGAACTGCTATTTGGACAGACCTTTGAACCGGCAAGAGCTAGATTGGTGGTGTTTTCGAGCAACAAGTAAGTCACCTTCATCATGTTGGAACGCACGTGTAGTTTTATGTAAGAGTATGAACGTGATTGGTTTTCCCGTATGCAACCAAACGTTGACACTGGTAGTGTTACCGACCATTATGCGGTGATGCCCATGTTAGAACAGACACTATGCCAGTCATGCCACCGACCAATAGTAGCCAACAACAAATAGATGTTATACCACTGAAACGCGCATCATCAGCAGCACTGGCTCACCAGGAACAAGTTAATGTATATTGTTTTATTGACTAGCAAAAGGTTAAATTCTAATCTGACCGTGTTACCGTATTACCAACCATTGTGATGCAGCACAAAGTGAACAACTTGCTCGGCAAGGCGCAATTTAGGGGACCGTTTAACAGGTTGTAATGAATGAGTTTCATGTTGCGTCAAAGGACACCAACAATATGTATGTAGCATCCAAAAGGTGTCCATTTGTTAGCTTGTCGGGCTAGCAACCTTTTTCTCTGGCTGCTTGGTACTCAAAAGGGGGCTATCGGTTCGACAAATCCAACAGGCTCCCCCTGGTGCATGGTGCACCATTCCAAAATGAATCTACCGGGATATTTACCGGCTTGATTCCCGACTCAAACCCCCCTCATTACTTCTTCTTCTCAATGCTCTTCACCTTGTAGTACTCGGCGCGCATCTTCTCGGATCCCCATCCCTTGCCCTTGTTGGCGTGCTGGAACGCGTTCCAGCTATTGCTGCATGCCTTCACCCTCGACGTCGAGCTCGAGGATGCCGAGGATGCCGCCGTTTCGTTCCAGTGGTGCTCCTGCTCAAACCCCCCTCCATCGTCCTTCCGCACCACCCACGTTCGGCCCCAATGATCATGAAGCTCCTGAATCCCACGGTCCACCTTCACCAAGTCCCGGGGCTTCTCCTTTACCTTAACCACCTCCAGAGGCTGAACGCCTCTCAGCCTTCTCACACAGCCCACCGCAACACCCGCGGTTTGCTTCGCCACCCACACTGCTCCGATCGCCATCAGGATGACTCCCACGACGAGCAGCACATCCAACTCGTCCACAGGCATGATGCCCTTCATGGCTGTCGCCTTCCCCACCAAATCTGCTCCGATCACCGCCAACAACCTCACCTTCATGCCGAAGCCGTCCGCAGTGACTGCCTGCTCTTCCTTAGCCAAAATGGCCTTCCTCATCATCTTCTTTACCACCGGCATACCCAGGTCTTCCCTGAATCGCTCGAAGGCCTGGCCATTAAGCGATTTCGTCATGCCGTCTGCCACCAGCTGCTTTCCCGACAGGTGCGTGAGCGACCAGCCACCATCTTCCAGGGCCCACCGCAACGACGCCGCCCTGATTCGCAAGTGCCTCGTCCTCCAGCTCCCCGACCCGTTTGATGCCAGGGCTATCGCCGCCACGTTGTCCCCGTAGATCCTCTTCTGGGTGAGCTGCTCACCCAGGATCACCTCCAACAAAGCAGCCGTCGCCCTTCCCGCCACCAACGACTCGCAGTACCCGATCAGCTCCGCTTCCGCCGTGGATTGCGCCACAAACGGCTGCTTGGTCGCCTCCCATGCAATTGGCGAGCCCGCGAAGTAGACCAAGATGCCCTGCACGCTCTTGTGGTCTCCTGCCGTGCCATAGCTGATGTCCGAAAACACCTCCAGCAACTTGTCGTGTCGCTTCACGCTCAGGTGATCCCGAGCACCCCATCCAGTAGCCTTCGCGTACTTGAGGCCCACGTCGGTCGTGGCGTTCACATACTTCAGCAACGCCATGCCCACATCCACCACCTGCTTCGGGCTCTTCATGTTACGGGCCATTGTTGCGACTCCCGCCATCAAATCTGGCCTCGTCTTCGTTGCCAACCAAAGCAACCCACCCGTGATTGCCTGTGCCCGTCGAAGCATCGTGGGGTCCAACTCTTCTTCCTCCTCCGGAGCCTTGTACATCGGCACCTCCATCTTTTCCCGAACGCCCCATTTCTCAACCAGCTCCTTTGCGTAGGCGCTCTGCCTCAAGTCAAAGCCCTCCTCCGACTTCCACATCTCAAAACCACAATACCTCAACGGCTCCTCCTCCGAAGGCCATTCGATATCTGACAGCGGCCACTCCTGTTCAATTCTCTTGACCGCCGCCTTGATAACCTCCTGCTTGGCCGCTATCAGCACGTCGTCCACGTAGATCGACATGAAGCCCATGTGCCTTCCAGTGAGGTCGACACCTTTCACGTGGCATCCAATGATCTTCCAGAGGTTCGGCTCCTCCGTGACCTCAAACTTCATGTCCCACTCCACGTCCTCCTCATCCTTCCACTTCCACATCATCTTCTTGAACATGCCATCGCGATGGACCCCCCAGTCCTTTGGGCTTGTGGTCAACCCGTAGACCGCCTTGTCTATGATCCACACCTCCTCCTTGTTGGCCAACCCACATTCCCGGAAGATCGCCGGCACCTCCATCACCACCGTCTTGGAATCATCCCTTCTCGGGGCATGAAGAAATGCCGTACGGATGTCGGTCCCCGCCAGAGACCACCCTCTCATTGCCGCCATCTTCGCCAAACTCCTGATCTGAGTGGCATCCGCTCCGGACGCATATGTGTCCTCCTGTGCGGTGCTGCTTGCGAAGTTGCCGCACACCACGCCCCGGACTTTCCTCCTTCCATCGGGCGCCTTCCTCGTGCACACTGCCTTTGACGGCAGGAACTCCACCATCCCCGGCAGATCGTTGACCTCCTTCCTCGACACCGGTCTCACCGCCTTCAGCTCCTCGGTCATCGCGATGTACTCCTTCTTGGCCGGCTCGATCCAGTGCTGGAGCTCCGTCCTCACCTCTTGCATTCCCACCGTCTTCGTGACCCACCACTCCTCCTCCAGGCGGTCTACATCCTCCATTTTCATCTGTCTGAGCTTCATCTCCAGCTCGTTTTTCTCTTGAACTCCTTCGCGAACCACCGGGAGCCACCACTCTTGCCCTTCTCCAACTCCATCCAGCAGTTCCATTTCTTCAGCTACCCAAGTAGCAATGTTTCCGTGGTGCTCCAACATCTTCTCCTCCACATCCTCCCCCTCGACGCGCATCGTCGACAGCTTCTGTTTCCCATTCAGCCGCCGCCTCTTTGGCGCCAAAAGGTCCACCTCCGGTCTCACCTCCAAGTTCACCGCCCCTTGCTCTCTGTTCAGGGCTTCCTCTACCTCCATGTTGATCTCCTCGGGCTCCGGAATTGCATCCGTGGTCGAGAAGAACCTCCCATCTTCGCAGCTCCTCACCCAATATCCACCCGAGGTGAGCGACATTGCGGCATCCGGGCCCATCACCGTGACCCTCTCTCTGTCCCACCTCCAATCCTGGTAGCGGTCCGTCCATGCCTTCTTCTTCACGTAGGCCACGGACGCGAACGGTAGCAGTTGCTTCGCGGGGTATCCCAAGCTCCGAAGCTGACCCCGCAACATCCTCTCTGCTGCTTGCCGCAGTGCCAAAGGCCACACCTCCACCTTCTCCTTGGAGGCGCACAAGATCGTCCGTGTCGCCCTTTTCAAAGCACCCACAACCTGCTCGGCACGGCCGTTCTCCTTGTAGCTATCGCCGGGCACGGTCGTCTTGTAGATGCCTCTGTCCTCCGCGAACTTCCTGATTGGAGCTGAAACAAGCTCCCGCGCCCGATCCGAATGAAGGCGCAACACCGGCAGCCCCAGCGCTCGCAACCGAGCATATATCCGTGCAATCGCCGGCAGCACGTTCATCGCCTTCCTGTCCAGCACGGGTTCCGCGAAAACCAAGTTCTTGAC